CCTTGCAATTAAGCTGCCCACTGCCCCTTGGCCAGTGGTCTGCTGCTTCAAACAGGGCTTCAGACATGTCCTTTGGGACGTATTCTCTGCTTCCGCCCTGCCCACTGTGGCGGTCAGAAGGGAGCTTTGCTTCGACACCAGAGGCTCTAGATAACAATGCCAGCAGCCACCGGAGGAGCTTGAGCCAGCCTGGACCGCCGGCTCAGTGGAAAGCACGGGGCTGGGCTGAGTGTGCCCTTCACCGACCTTGCGCAGAGGCTGGAGGTCGTGCGTCAGGGGAGTGCTGCGGTGTGCTGACAGAGACACACACCAACTCGGTGCAGAAGCCCACAACTCCGCACTCACTGCCAGTCTCTGCCCCGGGCTCCCCTCTTCAGCCCATTCACACCGCTTTCAAAGCACCGTGTTTTTCACACTGTCTCTATTTCACTGATGCTCAGAACTTTTTATCCATTTAGCTCTGCCCAAACCACTCCACCACTGCCTCCTGAGCCTATGAAGTACCCACTGACCGTATTTCTGACTATTCCTGCAAATTCCCCCTTCTCTTACCTTCATGCTCAGCCAGTGCAACTGTCCTTGCAGCCCCTGGAATCCACCAGCACTTAGTGTGTTCTGCAAAAACAGCAGCTCACCAGGGAAGCAACTGTCAAACTTTACCAGGAATGATAAAGCCAATGATAATCCACACTGCACTCTATTCTCAGCTCCGTCTGGAGCAATTTCAACACTGCAGCATATTCACGTGCAGCTCAAGAGCTGTTGGATATTTTATGACTGTGAATTCCAGATGCCAGATATCCTGCGAGAGCTGTCTCCCACCAGAAAGACAGATATCACTCCCCAGAAGGATGCAGGGACCATAGCATATGCCCACTTTCTGCTCTGTTGTGCACAGAGCCCGGACTTCCATCCTGTTCAAATGCAAAGGAGCTGCTGGGACACACCAGAAGGGTAAGGAGTCCTTCTAGAGGTTTGACATTGTATAGAGAGGTCTCATCATCAGCTCTGCTTCCTTGAAGAGGCTTCCCATTAGGCAGGAAGGGGTTTTGCCTTGAGGGCACAGATCTAGTAACTGTTGCCTGGCACCTTTCCTCACCTGCAGGTCAGGTTTGTGTTGTCTGTGTAGTATAGTCAGGCTTTCATTTCAATCAGCTGTCTCATTCACACACACTGCCTGCTTTAAAATAACAACCCATCGTTTCTGCAGATAAAGAACCACACATCACATCCCAATCCTGCAAGAAAAGCCCTGTTCTGGGAGCTATGAACCCCAAGGGTAACAGAAAGAAGCAGGGAAGGGACTTCTGAAGATGGGGCAATAGTCTATGGGGGAAGGATAGCTGGGAGAGAGATGACAACCATAGCCAACAAGCACCTCTTTGAGTGCTGAGGATTAAAATCCAAGGGCAATGTAGTGAGAAAACAGGCGTCTGGGGGAGTGCAACTCAGCAGTGCAGAACCTTCGGACAAGAAAAGAACAACAAAGAAACTTTTAGCCAAAAGGACAAAGCAGTTTGCTGATGGGGGGAGGCAGGAATGCCACCATTTCTCACTCCAACAGAAAACAGCCCTTTGTAGCTGCACGCCAGAAAGAGACACACAAGCAAAGTGAAGCCAAACGAAATACCCAAGCATAGTCCAAGCAGAGATTCTACTGCCCTGCTGGAGAAAGGAGCAAAGTGGGGGAAAGCCTTTCAACATGAACTTGGTTGATCTGTCTTCCCTCCTGCCTCATGACAAAGAATAGTCTCTACTTGGGAGAAGCTCTTGGCTGCTACAGAACAGAAAATGAAGCAGTGCTCTGCATATGGCACTTTTTAAATTCCACTGACAGGCTCACATCTCCCATCTCATGCAGTTTCCCTGCCATGTGGAGCTCAGTCACTGCTAACTATTTTCCCTGTTGACATGGACAGAAAATTGAGCAATTACCCTTAAAGTCCTCTCTCTCAGATTGCCCAGATTGCTACACACACAGCATTAAGCCCCCACATGCCCCTGGCCAAAATTGCCTCAACTAGGCCCTATCCTTTAGGAATTGAACACTTTTGTGTTGCTTGTGAAGCTTTATTACTCAAGTTGTGATGCATTAAATCCTGCTAAAGCAGGTTTCTTACCACAGAGAGAACCTGGCCTGCCTGTGACAAAGTTCAGCTGGACACACATCCACCTGGCAAAAGTGTTTTATCTATTTGCTGTGCCTGTGTACTAGCATGTACCAATGTGTGTTCAGGAAGATGGGCACTAAACTCACAGTGGTGCTGTAGGAAACCCCAATATCCAGCAGGCAGACACTCCAGAGTTTTTTCTGGAGAGACACTGCATCTTTTCAAAACAATCTTTCCAGCCTGGAGTTTTACAGGAGTAAATGGTACATTCAGTAAAACGCACCTCTTTGCTTTCCTACAGCTCAAGACTGGGTCCTCTTTAAAGTGGCTCTCTAGTCCTGGACTAACCTCTATGAAGAAGAAACTATCAGATTAGGATTAGAGAAAGAGCACAACCTGAGCGAAGGTAGTTCACTACCAGTATTTCAACGGTTTGTACTGCACTGTATGGATGACTTGCACCTTCTGGGTTTCCCAGGAATAGTCAGGTTCCTGAACATCCCTGCCTGGTCCACCCACTTGCAATCTCCCATATTACATCAATCTCTCCACACAGCCTGAGAAGTGACTGTCCTTTTTCCCCCAAACCCTCATGGAGATAAGTAATCAGATGCTATGCTACTTCATGCATAGGGTGAACAGCCCAGAAGCAGCGAGCACATTCTACTCCTATTTCTGAAACTACAAGGCCAAACTAACCCAAAAGTCTCCACTTCACTGTACAACATTCCCTCTATTCTCCACATGCCAAACTGGGCTCTGTCCAGGGCTTGTGCTTTTTTAACACTTTCTCCAATGGACTTGAAATTCTGAGCCTCTGGGTGGTAGTGATATATAAATGATCACAACTGAGCACATCTTAAATAATACCTTTTTAAGGGCACGTAGTTTTGCCCTTCATTCTTCTAGTGAAAAGGTTGTATGAGGGACAGACAATGTTAATGGAATGGTAGAGCTCAGCTTTCTAATAGGTTAAAGGCAGGCGATCCAAATGTATTGGCTGGCAGCAGGAATCATTACGCAACTGCGCCTGTTCACATTAAGGTGTACAAGCTAACACATTATGCAGCACAAAATAACCGTGACCCATCCTTGGGGATCCATGCACCAATGTCTTGCTTTTTGTGTGCCTAGAATCTGAGCTTTACTGTTACAGTTAAGGACACAAGGCCAAGTGCAGTTCTGTGTGAAGGGGAGGCTGACACGGCTCAACTTAGCGCACAGCTGCAGTATGCTGCTCCCTGCCCTCTGCACTGGGCACTTACTTGTAGCTCTCTGTTTATTCAAAAAACTAATTTTACTCAGGTTCTGGAATTTGTTTATACGTCACTTTTCTTCATAGCAATTGCTGAGCTCACATGGAAAACTCCTCTCCCAGAATAGCTTGCTTAATCTCCCTGTAGAAAAAGGACCACATGCATGTAATACAATGATCCACTTAGAGATTTTCCATGGACAAATTAGATCCACAGCTCGGTGCCTCTGACTGTACCAGAAAATGCCTGGGTAGGAACCATACTCAGGTTAGTGGGATCTTTATTCTAACACATAGATTTAATCCAAAACTGAACTCTGGATAGCAAACAATCCAAATTCAACTATTAACCATAGATTAAGCACAGATAAATAAGTAAAGTGTTTCAGGACTTGCCACATCTTCATACCATATTCTGCATAAATTCCATTCTGTATTTATTACCCAAGGTCTTGAAGCACTACAAGTCACGTGCTGTCAACGCGTGGCAAGCATTTTTCTCCCTGGTTAGCAAAAACAGTTATTATATTCTGAATACAAGACCAAGGATCAGCAAGAAGAACAGCATGTAGGCAAACAGTCCAAGAGCTGTTCAGAACTGACTATTGGCCTCAGTGACATACGCTGAAATTTAAGAAGCCCAAGAAAATTTGCAGGGGGGAAATAAGTCTATTCTGAAGATCCCAATGCTATAAAAGTGACACTTTTGGCAGTCATATGTTGCAATGCTTAATCTGTCTGGAAGACCCAAAGAGGTCTTCATTTAATCTCATTAAACGTACTGCTACCTGATCCACTGTGACTCCTGATAATTCTTCTGATGCCTGGTGATATTTTACAGATGCAGCTTTTTATACATAGTGTAAAATTCTTAACCCTTGAAAACAGAGGTAGCTCCTAGAGACTTTAATGAGTTTCAGTGCTCCTCACAGTTCTCTAGTGCTCATCTTGAAATTCACACGGTGCATTTTTCCCGAGATTTCCTCTCGGCTCTTCCACTCTTAGAAGAGCAGGTGATACACACTATAAAGAAAGACAATGCTAAGTCAGGAGGCCAATAGATTTCACAGCAGCCTGTACAGGGATGGGATTACCCACCAGTGTCTACGTTTAGTTTATGATATATGATCTCGGATAAGGGCAAGCAAATTTTTTTAAATGAAGAACTCGTTCACAACAGAGACCACAGGAGAGCAGTGCAGGCACTTGTCCTGGTGGGAACAAGACAAGGATGTTGCCATAAAACATGAGAGGCTTTAAGTAAAGCACGCTATCACCTAAACTAGAGGATAGCAGGGATTTCTTGCCCTACTCTCTTTTTGCCCCAGCCCACTATTCTCCATGTGGAGGTAATCACAGAGGAAAGCACCCTCTTCTCAAAGGTCCTTTATCATCCTGTGTTAATGAAGAGCCAGAGTCAGACTACAGATTCACTTCTTCATCCACCTCTCCATCTCCTTTGCTGTCTCTCCCTCCTTCAGCAGCTGGGGAGATGTAAACAGCTCCTGCATTTGTTTACCCCCACGGTGGTTCATTTCCTTGCAATTTCTTACAAGATGCCTCTGCTTACTTCACTGGAGAACTCCTAGACATGCATGAAGGCACCTTTTGCAGTCAGGTAAGTGATACCTTACCTCCTCCATCATCTGACACCTCCAGGCTCTGCTGTCTGAGACGATGGCTGCAGCAAAACACAAGGAAGGAAGAATTGCAATTGCAAACCCAGAAAAGCATCTTGTTGTGTCCCCTTCCTCCCCAGAAGCCTCATGGCCTGTCAAGGGAACAGTTCCCAGGTGTGCTTAGCCTGCAGACTGATCTTTTTCCGTACCCTACATTGCTGGACTCAGCAGAAATCTCAGTTTAGAGTGCTTAAGCAAGATGCCTTGTATCTGACACAAATCCCTAGACTGCAGGCAGTAGGTTCTGTGGTGGGTCTAGGAAGAAAGCAGATGCTTTCTACATTTCCTTCTTTCTGTCATATGGCAGTGACAGATCCATCACCTACTCCATATCCAGGGAACTACAGAGTGACCAGCCCTGCTTCATCTCAGGATGCATGACATGAGTTCATGCCAGGCTCTACACCCTTCCCAAATTCCAGATCTTGGTGTGCTGGTGCTTAGAGTCATCTATGCCAGATGTAGAAATTGTGGAAGAAGTCACAGCAGCAATGGGAACTTACTCTTCTACTTCTTCTGCATGCTTTCTTCCTGACCTGCAAGACAACAAAGGGCTCATGCTTAGGAAAGGATAGAGAAAATTAAAAACCTGCACCTTTCCCTCTGTCACTGTTATTGTGCAAAACCACTCCCACAACAGATCAAATGCAACACATTGCACCTTTAAAGAGTTCTAAGTGACCATTAAACCAGTATATCCAAAAGCCCTTGAGGACATCAGAAAGCCCTTGAGCACATCAGAAAGCCCTTGAGTGCATCAGATTGAAGCACTGGGGACCAAAAGACAGACACATCCAGATACAGCAAGAGCCATACTCCCTGTTGTTTTAGTTGCTCAGTTACTTTTTCTTCCCCTCTGCCTTCAGCTGCAGCTAAAGCTCACCTTACCTGAGGAGAGAGATTGGCACAATAAGAAGTGAAAATGCTATGCTTTGTCCACCTGTCCCTGAGAGGCCCTTCCTGCCCCTGGTCGTGCACTAAGATTATCTGGTTGCCTTTGTAGGTTAGGAGCCCCACCTGAGCTGGCCAAGTTCAGGTCAGACATGCTGTCGCTGCAGTAAATCAGGGCTGATCTGGCTGAGTTAACAGGAGTTCATAATAATAACGTGGGGGGGGGGGCACTAGCAAATGGCAGCTCCCTTGCTCTCCACTCCAGCAAGCCCAGAAGTAATTCAGTCCCGATTAGGGATGCTTGTTCAATATTCAAAATGTAAAACATGGAGGTTGCTGAACCAGCACTTTGAAAAGTTAATTAAATGCCAGGTTTCTTTTTAGCAGATACTCCATCACTCGCTGATTGCTTTGGCCATTTTGTGGAGTGAAGTTTTGTCTCTATGTGTTGGGAATAAATATTCTCCCCTGCCTTGAAGTCAGGGTACTGTGACAAGAACACATGGGGTTCCCCCCTACCACATGCTCTGTCCCAGGACACACCAAGACATAACAGAACTTGCTTCATTGCCTTGCATTGCTCCTTTCAAAGCACTTCCATGAGATGGGATAGACCTCTTCTCTGCTCTCTGTTCTAGCAGGTTATGGCCCTCATCTAGATCTCCTGTGAATAATCTACACTTCTAAGAGCAGATAGCAGGGCACAGGGGATGTCTAGCTATGAGGAGAAGAAAGCCACTTGTCTCCACTGCTCTCCTGAAGCTTGCAGTCTGTGAGAAGCTAAGGATTACACTGAACTGGTGGTCTGACCCCAGCGATACCCACTGTTATAATCAGAACCTCAGCTGTGTATGTGACATCTGCATCTGGACTTTCAGCTATATCTGCACCCTTCTGTTCTTCAGTAAAGGTGGAAGTGCAATGGAGATGGGGAATTTCAAAAAAGCTCTTCCAGAGAGGATTAATGGTCCAGCTCCATCCTTCTACCCACTGGTAGTACAAAGCATTTTTTGTGAACCCCCTGATACTATGGAGAAAGAAAGAGGTAGCTTCAGAAAGCCCACCATCTGAGAAGACAGAGATCGAACGATGATGCAAAATTTATTATATTTTATCTCTCCCTTCTGCCTTCACAGAACTATTTCCCACACCCTGTCTTCAAAGCTCTGACTGACCTTAAACATCCCAAATGATGGCTTTGCCCAGCGAGACAGTTTCCTGGAAGTTCAATCTAACCTCTTTTTAGCATGATGTTGTCGCCGCTAAATAACACTCCATTCCTCAGTACTTACACTCCTTACATCTTTGCTCATCTCCTGTCTGCAGGCAGGAGTGAAACACTCCACATGTTTGTACTTCCCAGGAGAGGGTCTCTCCTGCTATCCCTGTAAGCATTTTTTGTTTCTTTTTCCTGAGCTCCCTGTCATGACAGACATCCAGGTGGCCCCCAGGGAAGGCAGTCATATGTTAGTCCTAGAGGCAGAGACTACCGCACTCATGTTCTGAGACTTAAAGCTTTCTCAACTTTTCCTTGTTATGTTAGAAAAGGATTTATTCAGGGCAGTAAGCAAATGCTTCATTATGAAAGAGTTGCACTATATTGGAAATGATAGCAATTTGGGGTACAAATTCATAAACGAGGAAAGAATAGCAGTGACCCCTTTAATCCCAGAGCCCCACTGTTAGAACACTCTGTCAAACAAGACAGTTTGCCCCTCTCTCTAAGGCAAGCTAAAGCCCCATGGTCAGCCCCCCAAGGAGAACACCCTATGCCACAGGGCCCAAAGGTGTCAGCAGGTGATGCCAGTTCCTCATGCTGACAGTACTGTGGTTTATACAGAGAATTTAAATACCAATGGCACTAGAGCAGGAGCTAGACACCACTGTTGTTCTGTTTAGGTGAGACATCCGCTCCCAGTCACCTGCACTAGGCACATTTGTTAACATATGATTTAAAATAGCATTATTTGGTGAAACTGGCATTTCAAACCAGCTGATCAGCTCACGGGTAAAGAACTTTCCTGGAAATATAGTATTAAACTTCTGGAGCACAGGAAGGAATTTCATGTTTTACGCTTTCTGTGGCCTTAATCATTGAGCTGTTAGGTAAAGAAGTTGCCAGACTAGTATTTCCTTTTTTTTTTTTTAATAAGGCTTCCTTTAATTTTGTTTGATGCCAAATTACTTTTAAATTATTTGTTTCAAAATGAAAAAGAAATTGCACAAAATGGTTGTGGTTTGTTCCTGACCAATCTTTTGCTTTTTCTGCCCAATTGCATTACCTACATCTACCTAACAAAGCAACCCTGAGAGAAAGGACAAGCTTTGCCCTGTGTCCTAAGGTTAAAAATCCTCAAGGCAACAAAGAAAGCAATTAACAGATCCCAAAAAGGTGCCCTCCACCACTCTCCATTCCATAAGTTTATCCAAGGGACAAGCTACACATGGCTACTATTCCTGCAGAACCAGTCACGGCTTGTCTCTTTGCTCTCCAGGCACTACGGGAAGCCCGGCTGGCATCTTCATGAGGTTATCACTCTGCTTTAGGCATTGTGCAGTACCCCTGCCCAAGAACTGGCTCAGCTCATCAACGCCAACTGCAACATGTTGAGACCAGCATTTCATCCTTCTGGAGTATCAGGCCTGGGTACACAGCATCCTCTTCATTCACCACGTGGTTACAGCTACCAGTGAGTGAAAGAGACAATGAAGAAACCAGACTGTAAACTCAAGCCAGCACAGACAGATTTCCTACTCAGCCATTGGAAGTGCACTGCCCTGGTTTGCCTGCTCCAGCAGGAGGCCCAGCTCGGGGAGGGCAGCAACAAGCTTTAAAAAACAAGCAATTGTGCATGAACTATAGATACACCCACTCAGGTAAGGGCAAACAAAACCACACATCCTCAGAAATGCAGTCAGTCTGCTGTACTGTACATCTGTAATCCCCAGTTTCTGTGAGACAGTGATATCTCTGTTACTTTCTTCTGATAAGCTTATTGCACCTGGAGGGTCAAAGAACATGGGCCGACCCCAACAGTTCGACACCTTTGCTTAAACTCTTAAACTTCCACCACAAGGCTGTCTCCCAAACACAAGTAAAATCCCAGAATACTCCCTCTGGCTTTGGCTAGCTGGTGACACCCTCTCTATTTCAGGGTGTTGAATAGCTGAGAAACTGGGCAGAAGACCCCAGCAGATGCCATGTAATGCCATGCTATGTAACTCCTAGTAGAGAAAACTCATTTCTGTCCAAGCTGTGTCCTGGGGCAGAGGATACAGATCTGCTCTTGCTCTTGACTGTTGTCTTAGCTCAGTTCTGGCTTTTAATCTCCCTAGAGGGGGTTAAACCTTAAACCCTAGGTTTTCCCACACCACCCTCCGCCCCCCCCAACGCACAGCTGGGCTGCCTGGGAGCAGCCTGCAACTTCTGTGCTGAAGGGTGAAAGGCAGTTCTAATGTAGACATCATTTTCTGTTAAACTGTTTCTTTCTCATTTAATGGACTACCACAGAGATCTAAATGGAGATAAAGTAGCAGGGCTCAGAGAACAGCCAGGATGCTATCTTTATGCAGCATGACAATGTGCAGTGGTTAATTAGACACCGTTAACCTATTTTAGCAGGGGACATAACTGGGATGAATGGGGGGAAATGTCCTTGAAATATTTT